TATACGGTTCCAAACGAAGAACCCATTCGTAGTCGATGTGGGCCTCATCGAGTCGGCCCTGTTTTAGCAGAACTGATCCCCTCTGGAGTCGAGCGGCCAAGAAGTCGGGCTTCAATACAATCACTTCATTGAGATCATCGAGTCCTGCCTTATGTTTGCCTAACGCCAGATAGACTGTCGCTCTCTTGAAGACCGTTAGATAGTTGTTGGGATCCGCTTCTGTCGGACAACATATGGATCACATGAGACACACATAATGGACACAATGGGAGACAAAGACATACCGACAGCCATGTGATAGTGGGAGAGGGCGTCAGAGTATTGGCCGCGCGATAGCATCAGTCGTCCCAACTCTAAGTGGTTCTCAATCTCTTCATTGCTTATTGTGTGACAATCTGTGGGTCAGGGCATCAAAGACAACACCATTACATACCAGATATCAGTGATATTCTTGAGGTATACTTACAATCGATTGCATAACTTATTAATAATAATACTTTTAAAGACCAATAAATTGAGTTCACTTTCACTTGACTGTCCATCACATCCATAGCCGACGATTAGATGATTATAGCGCTAATTGATCCCTAATTAGTTGAAACAGATCTCAAGACCTCATCACTATTAATGACAATTCAAATGAACAACAATTGAGTTAATTATGGAAAAGTGAATGCATTTAAAGGCAAACCTATTCTCATATCTCATATGAATGTGTATTCATTGCAATACAAGTCGTGTTATAACGCTATTCGACGGCAACCTCTCCTTAATGAACGCCTACTTCACACACATTATGAACATTACATCACATCTCATACAAGTCTATACAAGTACTGCAGTTAGTGATGAGTTTGCAGTCAATCTCGCAATCATCACTAATTGAACACAATCTGACTATGCTTTCAATTATCATTAGTTTTCAATTATCATCTAATTTCATATACAATACAATTTAAGTTAACCAGTCAATTATTTCCGTACATTTAACTTACAGTATTTATCTATTGTATCAAATATGAGCAAACTTGTGATCAGGGTCTTTGCCGTTAAATCTCAATTCGGTATATATTTCTAAATATTCAAACATTTGTGAAATCAGCAATGTTGCTGTTTATACGTTTATACTCATATAATTAATATTTAAAATAATATAGTATCTGTTGCAAGTGGTTATTAATAATGTAAGAATACAAATGTAAAAAAGTTTGAAAACTTATTGTAATAATAAATTTATTTTAATACTTTTAATACTTCATATTTAAAAAATCTAAATTTTAAATACAATTCACTACTTTTGAGATAAGTTAGGAGTAGAATTGAAATATAGTGATAATATAAAGTAGAGGGTATTTGTACGATATTCATACATGTGTCTGGAATCCATGTATTACATTGTATTAAATATATCCATGTATTAATTTAAATGAATTTTCTGGATACTCTATTTCAAATAAAGATTTCTTATTTATTCAATGTGCTTATAATTTTAATATTTTAATGATTTAAATTTTTATTTATACTTTGAAAGAATGAAAGAGTTTGGAATCATTTTATATAAAATTAATTAATTATTTGTTTGTATTATCTTTTAGTAATTTGCGAAAGAGTTTTATTATTTTTTCTGAATACTGTATTAGTTTTCATCAATTTTATAATTTTTTTATGAGAGAGAGAGAGAGAGAGAGATGTCAATATTTAATTGAAACTTTTATTATTAATATTTAAAATTAATTACTAATCATTAGAAGATACACTAAATGAGTTAATAAATTAAGTATACGAAGAGATGAGAGCACAGGTAGACTAAGACTAATTGAGTCTAGAATTTGACAAAGTTTTCCAACAAACGTGTATTTCGTGCCGTAATTAGTGGACGACTCGTATGAATGCGTGAATGTGTTGTGAAATACATTTCCTTTTCCTTTTGGATGAAGTGTTGAATTCATTCACCGATTGTTTGTTTCATTGATTTAATTAATCGGTGAGTAAATCGTGACCACAATTAACCCATACTTTACTTACCATTTATTTTACTGTTCAGACGATGAATGCAAACGTGAGGTCCGTAGGTGTGAAGGACGTGGATCAGTCTGAGTTCGTCACAGCGTTGGCCGCTTTCCTCAAGAAGTAAGTGACACTCAACTCATTGCAGTGATTATGAGACTAATGGTGTGGTGTGTGGACGGGTAGGTCAGGCAAACTGAAAGTTCCCGATTGGGTGGATCTCGTGAAGACCGGTGTCTTCAAAGAGTTGGCGCCTTTCGATGAGGACTGGTATTACATCCGATCCGCGTCTATCGCCAGACATCTGTATCTGAGAGCACCCGTCGGTTAGTATTGACTACTCTTCG